TGGCCACTCAAGATTTATTGTGACTCGATGTATGTCCAATTGGGATTCACTGTGAAAATTTACCTGACCAGTTGTGGCTCACTGTGAAGCCAAAAAGTCAAATGTAATAAAGTGTCTGCCTATTGTGATTTACTGTGATTCATTGCCTCTCCAATTGAAATTTACTGTGAATGGGTGACTGTCCGATGGAGATTTACTGTGAATGAGTGACCTCCGATTGAGATTTACTGTGAATGAGTGACAGTCCATTTGAGATTTACTGTGAAGCAACATAGGTAAGTGGAATACAGTGACTGCCTATCGTGATTTACTGTGATTCAATGCCTCTCCGATTGAGATTTACTGTGAATGAGTGACCGTCCGTTTGAGATTTACTGTGAATGAGTGACCGTCCGTTTGAGATTTACTGTGAAGCAACATAGGCAAGTGTGATACAATGACTGCCTATTGTGATTTACTGTGCCTGATGTCTGACCATTCAAAATTTACTGTGATTCAGTGTCTGTCCGATTGTGAATAATTGTGAGTTTGCCTGCCCAGTTGTGAATAAATGTGAACCATGTACAATGCCCGGTTGTGATTTAGTGTGTCGGTCTACAAGGCTCAAAAACCGGCCAGCCAAATCCCATTCACATTAAATCACAACTGGGCTAGAAAGAGTCTTACCCCCTGGTCATAAGAGAATTAATAATGATGTCCTTGACCCTTAAATATGACATCAAAAATGTAACCGATTGTAGAATGGAATACAGAGACAATACTAGTGATATTATTACTATTACCATGACTACAATTCATGAGTTGGCTTGATTCTAGCTAACAATTATCACTTTGTATTCCCATAATATCTCAACTTACAGTATACCAAGGTTACTAGAAGTATTAGACAGCTCAGATGTCACCCATGCAAAAAGTATTCATGTGTTTTCAAAGTTCTTCTTTAATTTATGTCGAACATTTGGTAGAACTTTACTCAAACAAAGGTAAGTTTGACTGTTTCATTGAGTATTTATTCATAGCAGGGAGTAACTGTGTAATTCACAGTTAATATCTTCTCTGACTCGCAGATTAGTTACTGTAATTATTGTGGATGAGACTTGTCAAATTGTCAAAGTCTTGTTGAATACAGGTTCAATATGACATACACTGTATACATGGCATGAAGAATACATTTCCTGTTTATACATATTTCAATATTGTGCTGGTTGATTTCTTTGACCATGTGACTGAATTGACATATATTTGCAGCAACCCTTTCTGTATCTGCTCTGACTGTAGATGTTGAATTTTGTTTCCAGGTTAAGCCTAAATTCCAAGCTGTGCTTAATGTTCCAGAAGATCAAATAGGTTTGTATGTGGTTTATTTTCTTACATAAACATCACAGTGTCATTGCAACTTCATCTGTCAAAATCTGTAGATTTGACTAAACATGGCTGTATGTTAATGTGATTACTTTGTTTATTTTCTATCATAGATGATAGCATGTCTTTTTCCATCCACAATTCTGTTGCAACAATTGACATATTTTATGTATGTTTCTGTAATTGTTTTATTAATTTTGATTAGTTGCATATATATTTTCATTGGCTACAAATCTTGATAAAAAAATTTGGAAGAATTCTGCAGCTCCTATTTTGTGAAATCTAATGAAATTTGACTTTTGCATTCAAAGATTAAATTAGAAATATCTGTCTTTGTCTAGATACTTTGGTAATAGCTGGTCAGACATCCTTGACGAAAGCTACAGTCCCTGTATATGCCACTGGTGTCTTGACTTGTTATAACAGAGAAGAAGATAGAAAACAACTCTCGATATTTTTACAAGATGTCATTACAACATTATCATTATGTCACACGTCATTAGACAGTGTGAGGGCAGCATTCATTGAACTGCAGTAAGTATATCATTAGACAGTGTGAGGGCAGCATTCATTGAACTGCAGTATGTCTGTCACTTGCCATTAGATAATGTGAGGGCAGCATTCACATGCCATTAGACAATGAGAGGGCAGCATTCATTGAACTGCAATATGTATGTCACATGTTATTAGACAGTGTGAGGGCAGCATTCATTGAGCTGCAGTAAGTATGTCATACCATTAGACTGTGAGGGCAGCATTCATTGAAGTGCAGTCAGTATGCCACATGTCAGACAGTGAGAGGGCAGCATTCATTGAACTGCAGTAAGCATGTCACATGTCAGACAGTATGAGGGCAGCATTCATTGAACTGCAGTATGTATGTCACATGTCATTAGACAGTGAGGGGGCAGCATTCATTGTACTGCAGTAAGTATGTCACATGCCATTAGACAGTGTGAGGGCAGCATTCATTAAACTGCAGCATGTATGTCACATGTCATTAGTCAGTGAGAGGGCAGCTTTTATTAAACGACAGTATGTATGTCACATGCCATTAGACAGTGTGAGGGCAGCATTCATTAAACTGCAGCATGTATGTCACATGTCATTAGACAGTGAGAGGGCAGCATTCATTGAACTGCAGTAGTATGCCACATGCCATTAGACAGTGAGAGGACAGCATTCATTGAACTGCAGTATGTCATACCATTAGACAGTGAGAGGGCAGCATTTATTGAACTGCAGTATGTCATGCCATTAGACAGTGAGAGGGCAGCATTTATTGAATTGCAGTATGCATGTCACATGTCATTAGACAGTGTGAGGGCAGCATTTATTGAACTGCAGTAAGTATGTCACATGCCATTAGACAGTGCGAGGGCAGCATTCATTGAACTGCAGTATGTATGTCACATGCCATTAGACAGTGTGAGGGCAGCATTCATTGAACTGCAGTATGTATGTCACATGTCATTAGACAGTGAGAGGGCAGCATTTATTGAACTGCAGTAAGTATGTCACATGCCATTAGACAGTGTGAGGGCAGCATTCATTGAACTGCAGTATGTATGTCACATGCCATTAGACAGTGTGAGGGCAGCATTCATTGAACTGCAATATGTATGTCATAGCATTAGACAGTGTGAGGGCAGCATTCATTGAAGTGCAGTAAGTATGTCACATGCCATTAGACAGTGTGAGGGCAGCATTCATTGAACTGCAGTAAGTATATCATTAAACAGTGTGAGGGCAGCATTCATTGAAGTGCAGTAAGTTTGTCATTAGACAGTGTGGGTGTAGTCTTTGTCTTTCAAACAGTGTTAATCGTATTTACCATGAATCCAAACTTACGCTTTCTTTGTCTTTTAAACAGTGCCAATCCTATTTACCATGAATTACTAATGACAGTATTATGGAATGGTGTGGTACACACTTCAGCTCTAGTCAGAGCCGCTGCTGCCAGAATGTTTGAATTATTAATTAAAGGTGTGAATGAAACACTTGTATCTACCAGAGTTGTTCCTGCTCTCATTACTTTATCAGGGGATCCTGAAATGTAAGTAACAATAGCCATTGTTAAGAGAAAACAAATTTGGAGAAATTCATAGCTTTACGGAATATGGCAATAAAAAAAGAAAAATCTATTTTGCCTACCAATATATACT